TTCTCCCTTGCTAATTCTCTGTTATTCTGCGGTATATTGTATTAGTGGTTATCGTTTATACTACTGTGCCTGCCACTTTTTGAGAAGGGAAGTAGGATGCTTGCTTTACTCAGTGGAAGATTTGAGAATTCACTGTAACATTTATTTTTATCTTTTAAGTAAACTAGGAAGAGAGAGCAGACAACTGATTTCTTTGTACTTTTGCTATTTCCTAAGGGAAAGTTCTACCTTCTTCCTCCCCTTTTCCTCTCTATCCTCTCCTTTCTTCTTCTATTTCTACTTTCTTCATTTCTTTCTGTTTTTCTTGCCATACATACCCATAATAGAAACTTGAATTAATTAATAAAGTAGATACATCTATTACTCAAATTGGATACTTCCAATACATTTATATGACACTGCCTTCCAAAAATGATCATTTTTTTCTTCTCCATGAAGAAATTAAACAAAAGGATGATGTTTCCAGCCATGTTGATGGCCAAAATTTGTAATTATACAAATAACATAATGAGATGTCTCTCTTCAGTCCATTCCCAGCTTATCAGTCTAATAATGACTCCCCCAAAAGGAAGTGTGTGTCTTATGAGGTGCTGAATGTGCAGACATGAGACTTTTATTAAGTAATACCATTATTTTGTTTTCAGTATTTCCTGTTCCTAGAAGTTTACATTCAGTCATTTGAAGTCTGTGGATTGAAGACATTAACTGATCATAAGCTCATTTTAAGCAGCCAAGCACCTTTCATCTCCCCATTCATCTTGGACTTCAATTCCTTCCTAACCATGTTCATTCTACCTAGTGTAATTTACTTTCATGAAAAAGATAGAAGTAAAATTGGTTTGTGTGTCTTTACAGTCCCTTCTGTGCTAATGATCTTCCTCGTTTGCATTCTGCTCCATGTTTATCTTCAGCATTTTTCTAAAAGTATCAGTCCGTTCACAACTCTGGCTTTCTTCAGCACACTGAACTATTACATAGCATCATTATACGTGCCGTGTACTAGGGTATTTCTTCCATCTTCTTCTGACCATATTTCTCCCATTACCATACCTTCACATAACCAAAAGAGGCAAGGTTTCTTGCTTCAGTTGTAATCCTTTCTCTTCATATTTCTCTGTGGTCAAAACAAATCCTGCTTTGACAAAAGACCACACAGCTATAAGCTTGTGCAAAATAATATTTCTTGTTTCCAAAAGATGGCTTTTTAACAGCCTGCAGGGACACTGTTTATTCATATCTACAGAAATTTCAGTGTCCAGGAATGATTAGATTCTGTCTCTCCCTCATCTCTCTGCTTCTCTCTCTCTCTCTCTCTCTCTCCTTTCTCTCATGCTGTGGATGTGATTTAAATGCATTTGACCTTCCACAGGAATAAGATATCCAAATGCACAGAGAGACACTTTGAATTCTTTGAATTACTCCAGATTATTTTCATGGCCATAGCATTATTTTCATTTCATAGCATTTTAAGTCTTAACCTTCATATATATGAAAGCTGGATGTGTAGGTCAGTGGTAGATCATTTGCCTATTTTTCATGAATTCATAATTTTGATCCCCAGCACAGCACCACAAAAAATAAAATAATGAAATGCAGAGCCATCTTGGAATGAACTATGCTGCAACTACTTTAAATATGTTCTAAAATATCACTTTAAAATGTTCCCTACAACTTTTTTGACCTATGTAAGAGAGTCAGGTAATTTAAGTTTCTGGAAAATTACCTTTGAGGCGGTGTATGAACTGCAGTGAAGGCTAAGGCAGTGCTAAGGGAATCTGTTACCCTGGGATGCTAATTAACTCCAAATATTGCATATACATTAAATTGCATATAAATAGTAAAAGAAGCTCACAGAAGAGAAAAAATGAAAGCAATTTAAAAGAAGTCAGTTGTCTTCTGATTACAGAAAAAGGCATCAGAGGTGTGGCAGGAACCCTCTCCTCCCATCCCAGCCTTCAGTTCTTTCTCTAGTAACTGTCACCTTTCCTCTTGGCTTTCATTTTCCTTTCTCCACTATGAAAGGTGTGATTTGTTGGATAGTGTGACTTGGGAAAGTGTCCCTTCCCACAGTGTCAGGCTCTCCCTCATCTCTGTCTTGTGGGATTCTTTTCTCTTTTTTTAAGACTGAATAATAGTCTACTGTATGTATATACCACACCTTCTTTATTCAGACGTTTAAATGGGTTTGTCAGGAAATCTGCATTGATCTAAGGAAACTCCTTTTCTTTACTAGTCATGTGTGCTGAAAGGGGCTTCAGAGATCTCTACTGAAGCCCAAATCACACATGTCATCTTCACGTGTGGCTTTGCGGCTGTTGCTTGTGACTTTGTTATACCACAGTTTGGAGAGACCACCTGTTAGCCCTGATCTAATTTAAGGCTCTACAGACCCCTTGTGCAACAACAGGATGGCTGCACTCCTGAAATTATGAATCACTGATAAGTGTCATAATTGCAGTTCTCCTTTTAAAAATCTAACTTCAAGTTGGTTTGCCAGTTGCTAACTTCCACTTGCCTATATAGGACTTCTCATTTTTCTTTGTCAACATCACATATTTGCTCAGCTTTCGTGGCAGAAAGAGTTAAAATTACTTGACGAAGACATTTTTGTGAGCTAGGTATTATTCAAGAGTGGGTTCTAGAAATGTTTCTCTATTAGTTCCCTGGAAATGATACTTAAATTCATGTGGAAAGAAGAAACTTGCAAAAAAAAAACTAGCAAAGTACCAATGGCCATTCATTCAACAATCACAGAAATTAATACTAAACCTTCCTTGATCAAACAGCCTTGGTTTTAAATATTTTTTATGTGTATAAGTGTATTGTGTGCATGTATGTAAGTGCACCCTTGTCATGTAATTCCAGCAGAGGTCAGAAGAGGACATCTGAGACCCTGAAACTGGAATTTCGGATGGCGGACAGTTGTTAGCTGCCATGTGGGTGTTGGGAACTGAACCTGGGTCCTCTGCAACAGCAACCAGTGCTCTTAACTGCTGAGCTATCTCTCCAGCCCCCAATCTTGATTTTACAGAAGGGCCTTCCACTGTCATATCTCTTCCAAAGTGTGTGGAAAGGGCACTGGACTGAATATAAGGGGTGTGTATTTGAGTCCAAGGTGGTCCTCATGTTGATTCCCCACTGATATAAATACAGATAATTCTTTTTTTCCAGTACTTCAGCTCTATTTTCAGTTGAATGGGAAAGCAATGGAAACATATGTTCTTCCACACTGGAAGCTATGAGGAACAGTGAAGCTCTCCTTGATCTCAGTAGAGCAAACTCTAATAAATATGAAAGAGTTCTCCATAGTAGCAGCAGTATTGTTAACCTTTATCCTTCCATGGAAATGAACCAAGTCACTACCCCTAAATCCAGCTAACTACAAATCCTGAGATTTAAAACAGGGAACATGAATATGTTATTCCAAGAGAAAAGAGTAACAATCTAGCAGTCCACATCCCCGTGAGGGACATCATGAGGAAGACTGATTTCCCACAAGCTCCTCTGTGCACAAGGGCTCTGGCCACTGGACAACCTTCTACCACAGAATGTCTGTGTTTCTAATAAAGTCAAAAAGGACCAGTGGTGGCCCTCCTTCCATAGCAAGATTGTAGAGATGAGAAAGCAGTGCTCTGATTCACAGTAGTGGTTGCATAAGCCCAGAAGCAAATGGCAGGGAGAGAACACATGCTCTGGGAGCCTACCCACCCTCCTCCCCTTTCCTTTAATTTTTAAGAAAATTTATTCATCTTTATTTTATGTGTATGAGTGTTTTGCCTACATATACTCGGTATACCAGGTGCATGCAATGTCACAGATGTCAGAAGAGGACTGTTGTTAGCTGCCGTGCATGCTGGGAACCAAACACTGGTCCTCTGCAAGAGCAGCAGGTGCTCTTAACTGCCGAGACATCTCTCCAGCCCCCACCCTCATCTTCTTGATTTCATACTCATTTCTTCTTGGCAAAGTCCAGTAGTACATAAAAGAATATCTCATAATGATAAAAAAAAATAAGAATCTTTTGGCAGACTCATTGGACTTAATCATACAACTTAAGAAAGCAAGCAGGGGGCTGGAGAGATGGCTCAGTGGTTAAGAACACTGGCTGTTCTTGCAGAAGATGTGAGTTCAAATCCCAGCACCCACATGGAAGCTAACAACTGTCTGTAATTCCAGTTCCAGGGGATCCAATGGCCTCTTCTGTCCTCCACGGGCATTGCACAACATGGGTGCACTTACATATATGCAAGCAATATACTCATGCACATAAAATAAAAATAATAAATTTTAAAGAACAGAAAACAAGCATACATTAAGATTAAGGGCTCATTTAATGTATTATTTCTGGTGCATTTTCTTCTTGCCAACAATGAGACTAAGACAGAGGGTAAAATAATAAAACTAAGAGACTAGAGTGTTTAATGCAAGATACATACAAACCTGCATATAAGCCTAAGATGCTGAAGCATCTCTGCAAAAAAAAAAAAAAAAAAGAAGTGGGGGTTTTAAAAAAAAAAAAAAAAAAAAGTAAACAATTTCATTCCAAGTGGGTACTAGTCTTGATGCAAACATAGGACATGGTGATACCCACAAGCCAACAATTTCAAAACGGTAGAGTGTGATCATGAGATGTTATTCTTCATTAAGATTTGCATGTCAAGGTCTTTAACATCAGGAACTTCATTCGGGTACTCCAAACCAAGGAAAAAGACAATGGAAAAATACAAAATATTTACTCTACCTAACTGAGCTACTCCTCCTGAACCACATGTGTGCTGTATGTTTATAAACTGTAGCCCATGGTGATAGGAAACTCACTGAAGGAAAACCAAACACTCTGAGTCACATTTAGTTTACAGCGGGTCTTTTCTGCTCAGAAAACAAGAAAAATCTACTATCCAGCAGGCACGAGGGCTGAAGCAAAGGCCTGGTAGCAGCAAAGTGGTGAGATATGTTCTTTTTTATTTATTTATTTCCTTTCTTCCTTTTTGCCCCCCAAATAAAAAATAAAGTAATAATATTGTTGAACATCTCAACTGAACCCAAGTCCAATTCAGAATTCATCTTCAGAGCTGTCAGCTAAGAGCATTACTCGATCTTGCATGCTGTTGAATTCTCTCTGCTAGAGAAAGAAAACAGGAAAACGTTAGACTCTTCCTCTGCCAAGCTGAGAAGTAAGCCCACTCTGAAAGACACACAACATGGAGCAGAGGCAGCAGCTAATCCAAACCCCTGCACAGCAGTACTGTTCGTGCACCATTAAACCCCATGCGCTTTATTAGGCAAATTCGATAAGTGAAGACTTCTCTGCCGTGGATTAGCATCTGCTCTTGCTGCTTGCTTACCTTTCTTTTGTGCCTTTTGAAGCCATTTCTTCTTCGGCGGTTCATAACCTTAATGCTGTAGAGTGCTCCCAAGATAAACAAGGCTCCAGCTATCCCCACCCCCACGGGCACCAGCATTCCAGACATGTAGCCCGCCTGAGGAGAGAAGAAGACATGTGTCAGGATGCTCAGCAGACCACCAGGTCCTGGGTTCCTTGTCCCTGCTACATGGCAGGAGGCTTTTTAGATGCTTTGAATTCCTGTCTGCCTTGCTATACAGTAAAATAGAACTTAGAACAAAGATACTGTTTGGGGGAAGAAAGCAACAGAAAGAAAAGAATAACTTTTTTTTTAGATATTTCAGATCCTCAGAAGTACTGAATCAGCCAGACCTAGTAGACCCTCCAGCCACTTGAGTATGCACATTTGTCAACATCAATTTTTGATGACAGAAATATAATTTGTACTAAAGATGGATGAAGTGGGCTTCTGAGAATGCCAGGGCTATTAAATTGCTATAAATTGGAAATAGTCTGAGTCGCGCATCAAGGGGTTGAAATGTCCTCTAGAATACTGTGCTCCACGGAGGGTAAAAGGGGAGCTTGACAGCAGTGCTCCT